TAATTACCCCCCCACCTACCCTACTGCCTTTTATAGTAAACATATAAATTTTTAAAAGTCATAAAAATCATATTCCTTTTTGAACAGTCTTTGGAGCCACTGTTGAAAACCCTAAAAGATCTCAGTGGATCTGAGACTTGTATTATATGTTGTTATGAACAACGAACAATGGGAAAAAATCCAGAAATCGAGAAAAAATATTTTGAGGTGAGTACTCTACTAGATCTACCTTTGTAGTGATTACCCTTCAGAGAGGCTATATGTGACTTTGTGTTAAAGTGTATTGTGGTAATTTTGAGTAGGGAAAACATTCTGCTTGTATGAACCCAAGGAGAGGATCAGTATCCTTCATAGCACACCATTCTAATAACCGCCAGCCTCCCTCCCCGCCGCCTTTTTAATCTTTTCTGATTATTTATTTTTCTTTTTTAACTTGTCAATCTGTAAAACAATGTAAAATAATAATGTGACACCCTTGTCTTTCCTGAGAAAGTTTTCAGCATTTCTTTATTAAACGTGTTGCTGGCTTTTAGGAACATGTTAATGATGTGTATATTATTTTTGGAGATGACATCATAGAAACATGACATGTGGTATCCTTTTATTTTAGTGTTTTCCACGGTATTTTTATGATAGCTTTGACCAGTGTATCCTACCTATTTCGAGGTTTTTCTTTTTTTTTTTCTTTTGAAAGAATTAAAGACTCACAGGAAGTTGTGGAATTAGTACATAGAATCCCATTTATCTTTCACCCATCTTCCTCCAGTGGTCACCCAAGCCCTTTTTATGGGCAAAAATCCACCACATTACAAGTGACTCCTCATAAGGGTCCATCTGTATAGCCCTGCAGTTTTATCCTCTGAAAGGGTTACTTCGGGTAAAGTGACTCTTCATGACTCTGCCTCAGATATATGATGAAATGGTTTTTTAATTTTATGTTTTTCTTGAATATGAAGAATGTTAATAAACTTTTGAAATAATGTATAATTGAAAATTTTATTTTATTAATCAATTTCAGTTGAGTTAAAACATGTAAAATGCACATGTATCAAGTGCTTAGCTGAGTTTTTCATGTGCCCCTCCCCAGTCAGTACTCCAAAGGTAACCACCATTCTGATTTCTGTTACCACAGGATAGTTCATATTATTAACTATAAAGTATATCTTTTTTAAATTTATAGCTTCTTCAACTAGACTTTGAGTTTGAAAAAGTTCCTTTGGAAAAACATGATGAAGAATATCGAAGTGAAGATATTCACATTTTATACATCAGAAAGAAAAATTCGGTAAATACGTATTTGGCTTTTCATCCTCTGAAGCGATTTCATTAGCTGGACACTGTCTCTGAGCTTGTGTGTGATGTAGATGTTAATTTTCAAGTGGGGAAACAGCTTTGATGATTCACTGGACTCGGGCACTAACTCTCAGTGTTAAGATTGCCTAACCTACCTGGCCTCAGGTTTTTCCTCTAAAATAAGGCAGGCCTCTTTTGTAAAGGTCTTTTCTAGCTGTAAATTATATAGCTTTATTATTGGGCATTACCTCAGACAAGGAACTTAACTATTTATAAATTTCTGTTATCTGTTAGAGGTTTTAAAATGCCAGTTCTGTCCTTTGTGAACTCTCTCCAACCATTCATATGTTTTTTAATGGTCCAAGTAAACTATAAAAAGGTAGATCTGTCCAATAAAGAAAAATGCATTCAGTAAAGTAGAATTTATATATGTTCCCCTTTTTGGTTGCTTCCTTTACCTGTTATACTAATTACATTTTATGCACATTGCCTCTCCGATGTCTAGAATTTGAACCTGTAGAAAGGAAGAATTGTATCTCATTCATTTTTGTACTCCAGCACCTTCTATATATGTGACTGGTATAAGGCAGGGGCAAGATCAGTTTTATGAATTGAGAGTGCTAAATTTACTTAGTTCCATTTGTTTCTATTATCTTTCCTTTGAATTTGTGATGAAGTTTTCTGATTGTGTGAATTCTTGCCAAAAGCAAATAATGTGTAATTTTTGGAGTCAAGACTAGGTGTTGAGACTATAAGTAAAGAAGAGCTGTAGGATTAGTAATTCAGATCAATTATTATGTGGCATGGCGCTAGAGACAAAAAGATAAAAAGATAAATTTAAAATGTCTTGTGCCTTAAGGGATCCAGTTTTAGCTGAAGCTGTTGTATAGTTTTAAAAGTAGATTTCTTTTTTTTTGAGGCATAAAGATTTTGTGTTTCCTAAATATGAAGGCTTTCTTTTCTTCAGAGAATCATTTGTTTCTTTAACTTACATACTATAAAGTTTACCCTTTTAGAGTTTACACTAAAGCGATTTTTAGTATATTCACAGAATTGGACAACCATCACCACTTTTTAAACCCCATACCTGTTAGCAATTACTTCTTGTTCCTGCCTCCCCCAGCCCCTGACAACCACCAGTCTGTATCTCTGTGGATTTGCCTGTTCTGAATATTTCATACAGATGGAATCACACATTATGTGGCTTCCTGTGTCCGGCTTCTTTCATTCTGCAGTGTTTTCAAGGTGCATCCATGTTTTATAGTTGAATAATATTCCTTTGTATAGATATTACCACATCTTATCCAACCATTCATCAGTTGATGGGCATTTCTGTTGTTTCCACTTTTTGGCTCTAGGGAATAATGCTGCTGTGAATATTCATGTAAGAATTTTTGTGTGGCACATGTTTCAGATCTCTCCAGTGTATGTATACCCAGAGTAGAATTGCTAGGTCATACAGAAACTCTACATTTAACTTTTTGAGAACTTCCCAGAGTGTTCCAAAGCTACTATACCATTTTCCTTTCTCACCAGCAATATCTGCAGGTCGCAGTTTCTCCACATCCTCACTAATACTTATTGTTGTCCATCTTTTTTATTGTAGTCATCTTAGTAGGTATGAAGTGGGTTTTATTTCCCTAATGACTAATGATGTTGAGTATCTTTTTTTTTACTGACCTTTTGTACATCTTTACAGAAATCCTTTGCCTGTTTTAAAATTGAGTTGACTTTTCACTGTTGGGTTGTAAACGTTCTTTATATATCCTGGATACTAGACCCTTACCAGATATATGACTTGCAAAAACTTTCTCCCACTCTGTGGGTTGTCCTTTCATTTTCTTGATAGTATGTCCTTTGAAGCACAGAGGTTTTTGATTTTGATGATGTCCAATGTATCTCTTTTTTCTTTGGTTGCTTGTACTTTAGGCATCAGCAAAGACCATCTCTAAACATTATGCATGGCTGTTCATTTAAATTGCATTAGCCATTACTAGGAATATTACCTAGTATTAAGTACCCAGTAAATACTTAATTTATGATAAGAAATCAGTGTTTTAAGGTTTCCATTTTTTTCTTATAGAAATTTCCGTCGTGAAATCTAGTCATCTTACCCAAGCCTCTAACAACGTGGGTAAGCTAACATTGTGAATGGAGCATGTGAATACAGCATGGGAAGATTGTGTTCACAGATTTTCCCAGCATGTCCTTAGGGATCCGATATATAGACAACCACCACGGGCTACCTGCAGTACGAAAAATGATTGACTGACTGCCTACCTGCCAATGGGCCTGAAATCCAACTTAGTTTACTTTTAGCTCGGCATCAAGTTCTCCTTAAAAGAAACATGTTTCAGTCACTCCTCAAATAAAAATAGGTACTGAGGTTAGCCTAAAGTCTGCCAAAAATAGTGAAAGTAGCATGGTTGACTTGGCGTATTTTCAGGAAAGTAGAGATAAGTTGATCCGGTTTCTAAAGAGAGATAGCAATTACTATTTAATAATGTTTAAATTCAAATCAATAAATTTTAGCTTGTCTTCAAGATAAATTTTAAAAAAGGTTTTTATTTTAACGTATTTATGCAGTGGTTTTTATCATTAAGTATCTTCCACTTCATTGCTTTTAAGATAACTAAAACTTGTGTTCTTTTACTTTAAAAAAAAATGAAAATACTGTTTTGTGGCCAAGTTCTGTGCTTTTCCTTCACCACACTGACTACAGTATAATTTACTATGTGAGTTAGATAATAGATTATACTGTAGTCAGTTGATAAAGATGAAAGTAAGATATCGGGAGATTGGGAGGGAGGAAAAGGTATCTTTACAAAATTGTTTATTGGAGAATGGAGTGAAAATAAAAAGTCCAGCTTCAGGCTCTTGCATTTATGTGGCTCATGCACTTTTCCTCATGTATAGCTTCCAGGAAAATGCGGCTAAAGTCACTGGTGTTAACTTGTTTATATGAAACAGAGAAAAGTATTTAAATGACTACAAATGTAGTTCTGTATACATTTATCAAATGATTTTGATTCTGTGTGGTCTCTGTTTTATGTTCTCATGAGAATCATCTGTTCACAGACTGATCTATCAGGACTTCAGTTGCATGGTTCCAAAGTGTAATGGTAACCAGATGGATTTCTGGTACTTACAGGCATTGGTGCTAGGTGGCACAATGTATATGTTAAAATAAACATTGTTTTTGAGATCCTGTGACTTTGAGGATGTTTCAGAAATAGCTTTTGAGAAAATGAACATTTAAAGACGGTGACTGGTTTCCAGAAAGAGCAAAAGCAGCCCTAGAGAAATCAAAGATTGACATCAAGAGAACAGTTTTTTCCTTCAGGCTTGCTTCAATCTTTAATGTTTGTTCTTCTGTTTTGTTTTGTTTTTTTCAGACTGCTCTTAGCATTTCATTAAGCAGCTTACTAAGCAGTTAGTGTAACCTAAGTATATGATATTTCTTTAGTTACAAATAATACCAGGTATTACTAGTGAAGTCTTAGAACAAATGACCACTTTCTGGCTTGTTTCATAACATCATAGAGCTTGGTAGAAATTAGTTTAACACTGACCAGCAATAGTAGTCCATCTAGATTCCTCAGATACCTTTCACCCTCCTCCCATTTTCACTGTACTTCTAAAAAGAGTCGCTGTGGGTCTTGCCTGAAGTGCCCTTGACAGTCCTGTAATGAAAGCCCAGCTCCTTTACCTCAGACAGGTGACCATACACCAAAACTTCCTGGAGGGGTTGGGCTGAAGTCAGCCTCTGCAACTTAGCCAGAATCACACCCTTGCTGTGTGTGCTTCCTCTTGTTTCATGTCCTATTCCCACTCCCTTATCACCTCCTTAATAAATCACTTGCATACATTCATTGTCATCTGTTTCTGGGGAACTAACCTAATGGTACTGACTACAGAATTAAGTAATTTGTAACAGAAAGTCAAGTGAGTTTTATTATCTTATTCTGGAATAAGGCCAAAGCAGAGGTTAAAAGGTGCCAATCCCCACGTTCTAGGATCAGAGAGCCACGGTGATTAGGACCAGTAAGCACTGCAGGGCTTACTGAGGGGTGCCACATCAGATAACACGTGCTGTCACTAACCACCATCCCACAGACACCTGAGGAGGCCTGGGAGAGGTCTTCTTCTGGAGAAGTGCAGTGTTGGGGAAAGGGATTTAGTCCTCTGAGCTCTCATGAGGGAGGGAACAGAGTGCATCTGTACTCAGAAACCACAGGAGGGAGACCTGAGGGAATAATTCAAGACCCAGGATGCCTCCAAGAAGGGGAGACCAGCACCTTTTCCACCTGGTTTGGTTTGTCTTTACTCAGCAGATGAACACATCTGTTTAATCCCAGAGCATGGGAATGGAATTGGAGAGGCACTGTGGGGACTGTCAGGCAGCGAGGCATTAGAGATGGATCGTGCTGGCCTGAGGACTTCTGCAGCGACATGGGGAGGTTAAAAGGCAGGTGATGCCGCAGATGAGTGAGGTGTGATGCCACTGTCTGGGGGTCAGCCAGAATATAGGCAACTTTGAAATCTCAGTGGACTGCCAGGGCCAGGAGGAACTGCTCAGTAGTGGGCCCCTGGTCTTCCAGGCGAGTGGGGGTTGCTGCTGTGCACAATGAAACACATAAGCTGCATACCACAGTGCAGTGATGGCCAATTAGAAAGCCACCCCCCAGAAAGGCAGTGCTTCTCAAACTAGCTGTACATGGAAAACTAAAAGCAAGCAGACCATGTCCAGGTCCCATCCCAGTCCAGTTAAACCAGAGGCATGGTATTTTTTGGTGAAGGGCTCTGGGTGGTTTTAATGTTTAGCCTAAATTGAGAACTACTGCAATAAAGAAACCTCTTCTAGCATCTGCCTCCCAAAAAGAGAGCAAAGAAAAGGAAAGAGAAGTATAAAAACCATCTGTGATTAAAGTGGGTCTATACTTTAAAGGGAGGGAAAG